GCTTGACAAAAAGTAATCGGGTCGACGCTGCTAACTCTGCTTGGGTACTTAATCACCTACATACATATATATAAACAGGGAGTTAAAGCCCAGTGAATAGCACATGTGTAAAGGGGTGAAGAATGAATGTCCTTTCAGTATTTAAAATAGTCAATCGCATCAGTAAAGCATTTATTTGATCAAAACTTCATATTCCATATCATATCTGTCATATAGGAATCATAGTAGTCATATGTGGTACATCTAATAGCAAAACAGTACAGTAGGTCATATCAGACCGAACAGTCAGTTGATGGCCATCATATCAGTAAACAATAGTGGTTCCAAACTTGGGAACCGATAGAGATCTCTGTGACAATAGTATTAACAGTACAGTAACAGTAAGTTACTGAGGGTGCCACGAATACAGTTTACAAATAGGACAAACATTCATTCATTAAACAATAATGTTTCAGTAAATAGAACAGTTGCTCATTCAGGAAATATTCATAATTGAACATATCTTTACAATATTGTTACTCACAGACCACTAGGCTATAAGCAGCTAATGAGCGTCCTCGGATGCCAACCCTACACAGTTACAGAACGAACACACACTGTTGATGGCCGGCTGTAGCATCAATGAGCAGATCTATGCGAGCAAGGGGATAACTGTCTTTGGGCAAGCTTGGTTAAGTTTTGAGTAGTCGACACAGAGTCGCCATTTACCGTTGTTTTTACGAACCAAGACCACATTTTGATAGCCATATGGGGTAATCCACATTTTTGAATAACTGTGCCTCAAGAAGCTTTATCTACTTCGGAGGCGATAAGATGTTGCGTCTCGGGTGAAAGATGCGCTGCTTCTGGCGAGAGGGTCGGTGGAAGTGAGGTGCTCAATGCTGAGACGATGTTATGAAGGAGGGGTCAATATCTGGCATGTCTGAGTGGGTCCCAGGCGAATACGTTGTTGTGCTCAATCAGGAGGGCAGTAAAGTCGGCCTTTTCTTGGGGAGGATAGTTGGCTTTCGATTTTGGCAGTTTTTGTTGGGTTGGTGAGGTCGATGGGAACCTCAACAAGCTTTTCCACTGGTTCCCCTCTAACTAGCTCGTCCTCGTCTCTGACGTTGAGCCCTTCAATGTAGGAATGGCAATGGGGGACAATGGGGGTGGATATAATTCCCCATCCCCATTCCCCTAAAATAATTTTCCCATTTCCCATTCCCCATTCCCCTGATGGTACCACCCTCCCCATTTTTTAATGGGTATGGATTTTCCCCAACCCATTTTAATCCCCATTTTTATTTTTTATATTTAATTTAAAAACCACTTTTTTTTTTTATAATTTTGTTTTTAAGGTTCACAACAAAAAACTAAATATACCTTCAATCTTTTTTCTTTCTTTTCTAATATATTTAATGTTAACATTTTTTTTTTTTTTTTTTTTTTTTTAAGGTTCACAACAAAAGTTAAATATATCTTCAATCTTTTTTTTTTTCTTTTTTAATATATTTAATGTTAACAACCTTCTTTTTTTTTTTTTTTTTTTTATAAAGGTTTTAGCTAAATATACCTTCAATCTTTTTTCTTTCTTTTTTAATATATTTAATGTTAACAACTTATTTTTTTATTTATTTTTATTTTTTTAAAGTTCACAACAAAAGCTAAATATACATTCATCTTATTTTATTTTATTGGTTCAACAACAAAATCAAATACACATTAATTAATTAATAAAAAGTTTGTTTTTATAATAATCAAATATATATTTTGAGACAATCAAATAAGTTTTAGTAATTGAAAAAAAAAATGGGAAGAACGTGGAAGATTAAAAAAAATTACAACCATTTCTCTCTCTCTCTCACTCTCACTCTCTCCCCTACATGTTATAAGAACCTGATTACAATGTTATAAGAGCCTATTTGAAGAAATAAAATGTGAAAGAACCTGTTTCATTTTTAATTTATCAAATCTAATTATACCTTTAACAAATCTGAACCACTTATTTTAAGATATCTATGCATTACCACACCCAATCCATCCTCCATCTTCTTCCTTTAGTCCCGCACGAATTTTGTTGTTTGTTACTTTTAAAAAACAAAAAATGTTTTTTCAATTAAATTTTTACTAATTTCACAACACCATCACCACTATTCTCACTTCACTGTCACACTACCATCACCATAGCCACTACCATCATCACTGCCGCCATCACCCCACCACTATGTAACAATCTTTACTTTCACCTTCGTTCCATCACCAACCACCACCAAATATAAAAAAATATATTTTAATTTTTTTATAAAAAAATATTTTAATAAATGAAGCATAACATTGGGAAACAAGCTGATTTTAATTAAATCTGTTCATACTAAGAAAAATTCTTTTAATTTAAAAAAATTATTTAGTAAGACTTTGTATTCCCTTTTTGTTTTTCTAGCAAATAAATCTTTGTACCTATCATTTCTAACCAATCACGACTCATGCTATTTTGATTCTCTACAATTTCTTATTTTCAAATACATTCATATATATATATATATATATATGTTGTTAAATTGTGTGATAACATAAAACAAATAGATTCATACTCGTTAATTGAAATTTCAGAACAAGCAAACCATTCTGAAAATTACAATACACAACAAAAATAAAATAACATAGAAAAGCAAACCGAAACCTACACTAAACAGTATCCTTAATTTTTTAAATAAATTAAAAATTCTAGATATGCATAAAATTTGACAAGAATAATGTGACAATGTTAATTAATGTGTATTTGATTTTATTGTTGAGCCAAATAAAACAAAATAGATTGAATATATATTTGCTTTGGTTGTGAATCTCAAAAAAAAAAAAAAATGGTTATGAACCTTAAAAAAAAATTTAAAAAAAAACAAAAAGAAAAAGATTAAATGTATATTTAGCTTTGGTTGTGAATCTTAAAAATAAAAAAAAATGGTTTGTGAACCTTAAAAAAAAAAAAAAAAAAAAAAAGATTGGAGGTATATTTAGCTTTGGTTGTGGATCTTAAAAAAAATAATAAAATAATAATAAAATAAT